TTGAGATTTATTTTAGACTCAGATATATATATTTTTATTTTCAGTTGGGCTCATTTATTGATATACTTCTTCTGTGCATATCTGATTTTGTACTACTTCTATTATCTTCCTGTTTTGTACCTTCACCTATTTGTTGATTCCACTAGAGAGATAGTGACTGTGATGGTGAAACATATCATAGCATGGTGTTTGGTGCTTGGCATGTTTGACAATCCGGGTTTCACCTTGAACTGCAGCCTTGTGTGAACCCTAGGGCGTCACAGGAGACAAATAGTTAAAGGGACTTTAGGAGAACGTTTATATTTAGGAACTATAAAAGGATTTATCGATAACACGCGGCAAGTCTGCAAATATTAAATAATTCTATGCAACATATTGTCGTTACATGCCTTCAACCAACGTGACATGTACAAATAAGAAGATGATAGACAAATTTCTTTCAGACGGGGTTAGAAATACACAAAATTTTACAAAATATTAAATAATTTTTTTGATTGATAGAATATTAAACAATTAATCTCATTTTTATGCAATTAACCCTTGTTTTTATGATCAGGAAGAATGCTTTTTGATAAGGTTTTCACTCCTATTTGGCCCTTGAACTCTTCAATTTGTTCCTTCATACCCCCTAAATTATTTTCAGTTTCGTCTTACCCCTGGGCTATTAAATTTGTTTCTTGCTACTCTCTGAATTATTTTGAATCCCATCTTGCCCCATTAAATTTATCCCTTGTTACCCCCATAAACTATCACTTTTGGTACTAAATAACCATTTCCCTTACATTATTTTAGGTAATTAAAATAGATAAAATGATAGTTCACGAGGTAAGGTGGGACTTAATGATAGTCCATGAGGTAATATGAGACTCAAAATAGTTCAGGGATCAGTAACAAGGGAGGAAATTAGTACTTTAGGCCCCGTTTGGTAAATGGTTAATGAAGAGGGATTAATGAGAAGGATTAACATAGTTAGCCCATTTGAGGACTAAATTATTAACCCGTTATATAAGTTTTATTTTAACCCTTATGATCATTTTTAGTGTTTGGGAATAACAAAAATTTTGACTATTTTCTTTATAATTAGAGGGGTTAGCTCTTAATCCTTCTAAATAGGAGTAATAGTAAGGGAAAAGTGTTCCTAAGGTGACGCCTTAGATAATCATGTAAGGACGCGACCTAAAATCACATGATTGAGCTACATTATGGATGATCCGCTCCGTTAAACTTGATCTACATATTCTAAAACCCCAACACACCAAGTTTGGGGTAAACCCATCGTCGTTTAACCCTCGGTCGAGCCATGTGAAAAGTTCTATTCATTCGAAACCGTTAAAATTGATACGAGTGGATGAAGGGTCAAACGACGACGGGTTCACCCCAAACTTGGTGTGTTGGGATTTTAGAATATGTAGATCAAGTTCAACGGAGCAGATCATCCACAATATAGCCCAATCATGTGATTTTAGGCCGCGTCCTTAGATGATTATCTTAGGCGTTACCTTAGGAACACTTCTCCCTAATAGTAAACCCCTCATTTTTAGGGGTTAACTCATTCTAATCTCTCTAGATCGGTTAGCTTAACATTTCTATATATTTTGTGATTGACAAATTATAGAGGGTTAACTCACTTTAACCCTTATATAGATTTTTTGTGTTTAGCGGGTTAAGAATGGGTTAAGTCTCCTTAACCTCTCACTTAACCCTTTACCAAACGACACCTTAGAGTGTAAGATAAGACTAAAAACAGTTTAGAGGGTATAAGTGGTCAAAATGAATAGTTCAGAGTGCAAGTAGGGCTTGAAAGCTTTGGAAAAAATAGAGTGAATGGAACATTTAATAGGAAAGTTGTTTATTATTTTGGATAGAAGTAAAAAATTTCAATTCATGAAATAATATTCTTCTATTTGCTACTCAACCAACTTTATCTTTGACCATTTGCCACTGCATCTTAAAATGCCTCACCAAACAATTATTAAAAATATTCTTCAAAAAATATATAAATATTTCCGGTTGTATTCTAAATGAATTTCTTCCGCACTAACAACAAAATAATATGTCTTACGTGCGAAATCTCTCACGAAAGATGTACATGAAAACATCACGAGAATCTCTTCTCTCATGCAATCATTTGTAGAGAAAGTCAACAACTAAGAAACAAAGTCAACAGTACTCAATTTTCGTATCCACCATCCAATTTTAATTTAACGGCCAATATTAATCCAGCTCATCAAGGAGGCGTCTTTTTCTAAAGTACATACTGATCCCGTTACCGCCCGTGACCGTAAAAATCCTTTTCCTCAACGGGTTTAACCTATGCACCCAAAATCAGTAATATTTACAACTTTACCCCTCAAATCTATATATTTGCTGTCCCCTTGGTTGCGAGCTAGATTTTCTTGGTTCAGTGATTAGAGCAAGGGCATCGAGCTTTCTTCAGAGCTCTCAAGGCTCACATGGCCGTGGAAAACTTCTTCCCCCCCACCTCCAGCAAGCTCCCAAACCCTCCCAAGCCCCGCTCTCAAGGCTGACGTGCCTCTTGAGAGCTTCCGAGCTCCCAAGCGCTCCACAAATTTGTGGAGCGCTTGGGAGCTCCCAACTGGTCGGAATTTAACAAGAACCCCCCTCAACAAGTACACCTTCGCAGATCTGCCCAAAATTGAAGCAAAAATCCAACCTTTTCGTCTCAAATCGATCCGATCGACGACGACAGACTTCACCTTCGCGGGCGGCTGGTCTTTACTCCGATGGGCGACGATGGTTGAGTCTCAGAGGCCGCGGGTTGGGGAGCCAGAGATCCGATGGACGGCAGTGGTTGAGTCTCAAGGTCGTGGGTTGGTTTCGACAGGGGATGAAGAGGCGTGGATGTGGGGTTGGGGAGATGAAGAGGTCCGGTTTGGGTTGGGGAGATGAAGAGGCGTGGGTTTGGGGGAGAAAATGAAATTCATTGGAAGAGTTTGGGTTTGTGGGTTTTTATGAAGAGTTTTTTACTGAGTTATGAAAATGAAATGTAACCGTTGAAATAATTGAAATAAATGAGACTGAAGTGTAAAATGAACCGTTGAGTGTAAAAAATGAACCGTTGAGTGAAAAAAATTCTTACCGTTGAGTTATGAAAATAACGTTGTGGGAAAATTTTCTTACTGTTGAATAGTAAAAAACCTCTATAAATTCACAATTCACAATCCACACAACTCTCTCATAAAAAAAACAACTATATATTTTCCTATCAAATTACAAATCTCATGGATCCCTCCCAAAACAACTACTATTCGCAACTCCTTACCGGTGAAGGATCGACCTTATACTCGCTGTTCTATACAGAAGTCGTAGAAGAATGTCATCACATCGAGTTATCGCAATCCGCAACACAATAAGTGTCATCCCAAGAAACACCGACCATAAAGAAGAAGAAGGCTTACACACGGTCCAAAAATTGGACTGTCCACGAGAATAAGCTTCTTGTGTCTGCTTGGCTGAACACGAGCCAAGACGCCATCCAAGGTACGGGGCAACACAGTCTGCTTGGCTGAACACGAGCCAAGACGCCATCCAAGGTACGGGGCAACACAAAGATAAGTTCTGGCATAGATCTAACGACTACTTTATCCAATACTCAACCGATCCAACGAGCCGCACACCAAACCAAATGATGCACCGTTGGTCAACGATTCAACTGTCTGTCAACAAGTTCTGCAGGTACGTTGCTTAGATTGAAGGAAGACAAAGATCTGGTACGGGAATTATTGACCAGGTAAATATTTAACTTGTATGTTTTTATGTAAATATTTAACTTATATGTTTGATTATTCTAAATTTAACTCTTGTGTAGACTGCAGAAGTAAAAGAATTATACCAATCCCTTTATGGTAAGCCATTCGTGTTTGACCATTGCTGGGTTGAGTTGCGTCATCACCAAAAGTGGATCCAACAAATAAAAACTTACAATAAAATTTGATGTCCAGTATACATACCTTGCTAGGTAGTTAGACAATTCTTCCATGTCCAGTGCATGCAGTCGATGCTCCCAAGCATACCAGGAAAACCTCATTGTGAACCTTTCTCGAGCAGGCGTGCAACGTCTTCATTAGTCGGTGAACGAAGGTATTCCTCTCTAAAGATGTTGATAATCGATCGAACGAACCTCTTCACGCTCTCAAGTGACGTACTTTTACCGATCCGAACGTAGTCATCAACGGAGTCAGCGGATGCTCCATATGCGAGCATCCGCATAGCTGTAGTAATCTTTTGTAGACTAGATAGTCCTAATTGTTCAGCACCATTCCTCTTTTAGACGAAGTACTTGTCATGTTCGACGACTGCGTCGTGGATTCGAAGGAATAACGAACGCGTCATTCTGAATCTTTGACGAAAATAATAAAGAGGATAGGTTGGTGCGTCAGCAAAATAATATTGGAACAACCGATTGTGGCCTTCCAGTCGGTTTCGATGGAGCACGATACATCGTTTGTGTTGAACTGAAATTGAACATTTCTCTTGTTCTTCTTTCTCAACGACAGCAGCTCCCATAAGAAAGAACGTCTTCATCATTTCATCATCGCTAGAGCTAGATGAGCTAGACATTTTATTCTTGGAGATGATGAGTTAAGGAGAGAAGCCATCGAATTTTATAGGAATCTGTCGATTGACGATCAAAGTTTGTGATACCTCGAACTTCGTGCCCAACCTCGAAGACCGCGGGTTACCTCGAAGACCGTGTGCGCTCCCTCGAAGGCCGTATCCAACGGTTAGAAATAAAATACAAGAGGTTTAAATATAATTGAAAGTAATGGGTAAAATATTAAAATAGAAGAGAGGTTTTTTTGATATTGTTGGAGCTCCTAACTAGGAGCTTGTTGGAGCTCCATAAAAGGAGTGCCTCTTAAGGCTTAATTTTTTAATTTTTATTCTAAAATGTTTGAGAGCTCTTGAGAGTTTGCTGACTAGGACTCCTAACTGGGAGCTTGATGCACTTGCTCTTAAACAAGGGTAAATTATTTGGACTTTGGATCGGGGAGAGAGAGAGATGAGGGAGAAATTGAGCATATGGGTACTGTTAGCTTGTATTTGGGCTTTGAATTCGAGTTCTGTTAATGGCTCCACTGATCAATCTGATGGTAAAGCCATCTCATCTTTAGCAGCTTTTTTGATTTTTAAAAAAAATCTATTTCACATATTTTGGATTCTTTTTCTTCTCTTTTTTATGTTAATGCGGATAAAGGTAAAGTACCCAGTTGTGGAATCTGTCTCAATTTGTAGTTGATCATCAATTTTTGTACCTTTTGATTCATTTCAGTTTTCCCGGCGACTTGAAATTGGATGAAAATTGGAGTTTTGTAGCAAAAATCTGATTTTTGAACTGAATCAATGAAGTTCCTCACCTCTGTGTTCAAGTTTAATGTACAAAAGCAATAATGTTGAGTGAATAGTTTCTTCAGATTCTCTGCAGCCCTTTGTATTTGAAGCTCCTTTTTTACTGATATGAGAAAAATATATTTTCTGTATCCACCCTAATTTTTTGATGGATGCTGATACCTTTTTGCTTGTCTTTTAATTCCAATATCATGTATCTATATGTTTGCTTGCTTGTTGTAAAATCTGATATTGGACTAAAGAAGTGCTTCCTTTTGTTTAGTTTTTTAATGAACATGTATATAATATGATGTGCATCACATTAATCTTCAAATTTTTATGTGATTATCTGGTTTTTTAATGAACATGTATATAATATGATGTGCATCACATTAATCTTCAAATTTTTATGTGATTATCTGAGACTTCAGATTCTTAGCAGTTTTCTTTTCGTGCATCACATTAATCTTCAAATTTTTATGTGATTATCTGAGACTTCAGATTCTTAGCAGTTTTCTTTTCTTTCCTTTCTTTTTTCCCATTGTTTTTTGATATGCTAAGAAACCCTGATGAACAGTATAGAGATGTTTTTTTTTTGCCCTGCAAGTAATGTTGGCACAACCACTTGTTAATGAGATTCTAAATTTATATTCTTGGAGGAGTGCAGATATATTTTTGTTTATATACAAGTTTATATTTATCAGTAAAGATTCACGGAAGTATATTCTAATGGCTTTTAAGCAGCAGTTACATGATGCTAGTGAAGCTTTTGAACTGCGCAATTTCCCTGAGATATCAACACATCTTTTGCCTAGCAGATTTTTTCCCCTGTGAATTTTCGGTGCCATGTGTTTAATACTATTGGATTAAATCTTTTCCTTTTCTTATTATTCTTCTCCTGTGAATTTTCGGTGCCATGTGTTTAATACTATTGGATTAAATCTTTTCCTTTTCTTATTATTCTTCTCTTTCTTATTTTGCTACTTGTTCATGATACACTATTGGATTAAATCTTTTCCTTTTCTTATTATTCTTCTCTTTCTTATTTTGCTACTTGTTCATGATACTGAGAATACACTGCCTTTGGTCTTCAGGGTCTCAACCCCATCTGGTCCTCTCTAAATATATCTAGATGAATTTAGTTCAAATATTTTTCATCTTCATTTGTTCTCTTTGTATGTTCCATTATGCAGTTACCCCTCTCAATACCTTGTTCAGTAGCTTAAATTCACCGGGGCAGCTAAGTGGTTGGAAACAAAATGGTGGTGATCCCTGCGGGGAGTCATGGAAAGGCATTACATGCTCAGGGTCATCAGTTACCGAGATGTGAGATTCTTCAAAACTATTTTCTTATTGAAATCGATGTATTTATTGAAGCATGTCATTTTTCTTCTAGAAAATTGTCAGGTCTTGGACTTACCGGGACATTGGCCTATAACATGGACTCCATGAAATCATTAATTGAGCTGTGTGCATTATTCTTTCTCTATGCATAATCTTGCACATAGACCCCCTGTGGTATCACTGTTTTAAACTTACTATCCATGTAGTTTCATTGTTGCAGATAGAGCCCCTTGGTTAAATCATTTCTCTTTAACCCTCAGATAGTCACAAATTTCACCTTTGCAAGATGTGCCAAAATTTCACGAAGGATAAAAGAGCAAAAAAATTAACCAAGGGGGTCTATCTGAAACAATGATACTATACGGGTAGTAAGTTCAAAACAACGATACTGCAAGGTTCTATATGCAATTAACCCTTTTTTCTTTTGGGATTTGGGTTTGATATCCTGAATATGATGCAGAGACATGAGCACCAATAGCCTTGGAAACGGAGGCCAAATTCCATATAATCTTCCTCCAAACCTCAAACGGCTGTAAGTTTTGATGCAAAATTCTAGATGGTTTGGTTATTTCTTTCTAATTAACTCCTGTGACATTGGTTATGCAGAAATCTTGCTTCTAATCAATTTGCTCAAGGCATTCCTTACTCAATCACTCTGATGCATGCTCTTGAATATTTGTGAGTATCATTATGAAGGGAACTTTTATTGTCATATTTTGTACTTTTCTTCTGGATATTTTTTCAGTTAAAACGAGTTGATGATGAAGGTAGGAATCTTGCTCACAATCAGCTTCAGGGAATCTTAACTGATATGTTTGGACAACTCTTACATGATCAAATCTTGAGACAATGTGAATAAAAGCTCCTTTCTCTCTTATCCCCTGAAATTGCTTACTATTTTCAAAGCAAGGCAGATTGTGCTTTTAATGAATTAACAATCATGTAGCTGTTAGGAATTTAACGCCTAAACCCCTAATGCAACAGAAACGCAGTATAGAAAAAGTACACCAAGATTTCATTTAACGGGAGGCTTCGGGCAACTGGCCTACGTCCTCGGGAGCCACAACAGATAATTTCTTATTAATTAACAAGAAATACAATTTTAGGGGCGATATCTCAAACTGCAGATTTCTCAGTATAAACACTTAGCTACAGCGTTAATAATCAAAGGTATTGAAACCGCTTTTCAATTTCACTTGAGAACAATATGAATAACCCACATATAAAAACCCCTTTTATATTCTTGCTCTCCTTAAATCTTTTTCTTAATTCTCCCTCAAATCAATGAGCGCTGGAGATGGGAACGCTAGCTGCGTTCCGTGGTCCCGTCCGGCCAGTAAGGAAAAATCGGAGGAGGGGTAAAAAGTACGGCCTCCGGAAACCCTAGCGGGGCGGTTTAAATAACGATGAGGGGATGACGCTGGCGACCAGCTTCGCCAGCGACCCGCGACGCCATAAAGAAGGGGGTGCGAAAGGCAGAGGTCGAAAGACGGCAAGCTCGAATGGGCGTGGTCTCGAACGCAGACTTCGCAAGCGGGTTCGGCCCACTCTGCGTTCGCCGGCAAGTGGATGCGTTCACGAAGGAATTGGCGTTCGCCGCTTTCGCCTGCGATCACTTCGCCATTCTCGAGCCTCGTCGGAGCTTCCTCCGCCGTCGGTATAACCGGCAGCGTCGCTGCGGTTCGTCAGCTCCACGCACGCCTTGCAACATCCATTGACAGCTCGCCGCTGAGCTCTTCGCCGGTGTTTTACCACAAGAGTTGGTATCCCCCCAAATTAAACAAGTCTCCCACGTTGGAGACCAAACCGACGCCAAAGCGCCTATCTATCATTGAAGGCTCATCTCCGTGTGTGTGCTGTCCGCCCTCATCATCTTATGCAATGACAAGGCCAAGACTTGAAGTTAGCGATCACAACTCCAGTTTCTGAACATCACGCTCTTTGTTTAACATAGGTCTGCCGGATTTCTTACCTCCCTTGGAATCTTTTCCAGTTTTAACACGTCACTATCCAACAGCGAGATCCATGATGAAGTAAGATACCGCGAACGCAATTATGCTTCGTTTCTCTAGTAATCGGAAATGCCAATTTTTCGCCAAGTGTATCACACTTCTGGGCTTATCACTGTGCAAAACATTCTTCTCCTGTTTGAATCCCAGCTCTGTCAGACAAACCCTTGAATGCCATATCATCTCATTTACTGGACTTCAGTCACTGCAATAAGACTCGAGGCTTCTGTAGTGGATGGTGGGCTAACGATCTCATGTACCTGTGACCATCCATACTGACAGCTGTAGTTATCGAGCGAATGAATACATAGCCGGTGTGTGCTTTCTTCGTGTGATCAACTTCGCCGAGGCGAAGTCTGCATCTAGCTTACCCTTGCACTTCTACCTCTCCCTTACAATCAGTGCAAACACTTTTGGTTGTTGTTTCTCCGTAGATAATCTCAGAATCCACTTTGAAGGCCGCTTCTCCAATGGAGGCTTTTCCTGGATTCGCATAAACCGACTGACCACTATCCACTGCCATGGCCAATGTCTGGTCTCGTACAGACCATTGCGTACATCAGGCTTCGATAGCTTGAGGCAGTAAGAGGACCTTGAGCCACTTATCTCTTTCTCTTTCTCTGAATGACGAGACGATCCTTCGATAGACGGAAAATGGCTGGCCAAGGGTGTGCTCACTAAGGCCTTGGGCGTCGCCCATATTATCTCTGCAAAACACGGTTGACTGTACTCCGTCTGAGATAACTGCCAAGAGACCTCTCTTTCTTTATCTCTCGTGTATTGCCATTCAATGGATCTCTTCGCCTGGGACCCAAGTCCTTGCATGTCAACTCCTAATTGACTAGCTGCTGCCTTCAAGCTTCGATATCCGTCCAATATCTTCTCCTGCCAACCAACATATCATCAAATACAGCAGTAGGTGATATAGCCTGACATTGCATATCTTTTGAGAGATAGCAACATTGAGTCGGCGTATGCACTTCTGAAAAACCTTTCGTTGTGCATGAAGCATCAAACTTCTTGTCACCACTAGCCTTGGGGTCTGTGTTTCAGGCCCAATACAGTTTCTTGAGTCTGCACACCAGGTTTTTCTTTTGCTTTTGAGAAACTATCTGGCTTGATGCATGTTATATCTCGTCTTCTAGATTCTGAAGAAACGCCAGTCTTCACGTTCTAACTGCTCGAGCATGAAGATCTTCATATTGCCTACAATACTATTAGCGGTCCTTGATAGTTATTAGCTTTACACTTGGAGCGAAATATCGTGTAGTCAATTTCCTTCCTTCTGCTGAGCTTGACAACTAGAGGCGCCTTATATCTATGTGGAACCATCTTGCTTCCTCTTTCACCCGGTTAACCCAAAACCCATTTTGTTGTGAAGTGCCTTTTACCGTGGGGCACTCAGCTAGTTCCCACGTGCGTTTGAATATGGAGAGACTTCATCTCATCTTTTCATGGCAAGCTCCACTTGCTTCGCATCTCCACATGACAAGCACTTCATCAAGCTTTCATGGCTCCCCACCATCTGCAAGTAACAGATAGATTCATGTATCTCCTGTTGGGCTACAGAGGAGGGACGAAGAAGATCTATCTTAATATCTGGAGTCTGGTGCGTCGCGGGCTCCTGCGCCAACATCTTGTCACACAGGCTCTTCTTGCTGAGGACCCTCTGATGGTTCTTCCGAGAGGTTACTACGGGACATTCATGTGCTAATCTACAAATATTGACTCGCCCTCTCTGAAGCTCATCATGTGTGCATGTCCTTGTACATCACCTTCTCGTTGGAATATCACATTCTGCGCTGCGGACTCACCTTCTTGTTTTCGATTGTTCCAATGCAGCGTAGCCGAATCATCTTCAGCCTTAGCCGGATAAAAGTGATTTCTTTTGATTTGGGATCAAGTCTTAGTTCACTGCCTTGATCACAATATGCACGTAAGCTACACAAAACGAAAAAAGACTTATTAGAGTGTGCAGAGTTTACCGCTCGTTCCGCACCATACCTCTCTCTGTAGATTCTGTGCTCCAATGCGAAAACGATGGACACTCGGTTGACAAGTAAGCTGGCTGTGTTGACCGCTTCTGGCCCAGTAACTGCTTTGGTAAAGGCCTGATTGTACATCTGATGTTCTGGCTCTCTCTGTCAAATGACGTTCGGTTCATACTCGCCTCAGCTACACCATTTTGCTGATGGCAGTGCCGGCACGGTTCTCTACCAGTTCTGATCCCGGCTCATAGCAGAAACTTCTTGATGCACTTCGGTGTCTTCATGACTCACGCCTTTCTCGGTCCTGAGCTTCTTTTTTCTCAGAACTACGGTTACATTCTCGACCATGGTATTCATCTTCTGAAAGCCTCAAACACTTTCTACGTTATGTTTCAGAAAGTAGACCGCATACTTATTCGAGTGTGATCAGCTCGATAAAAGTACGAAGTAGTGTTCCACACCAATCGAACGCCAGTGCCGTTGGTTGACTCCCACAATAACATCTGTCATATTACACAATGATAAAGTATATAGTGATATATATAATAATATAACATATGTTTTGGTTTTATAGTTTTCGGTTATATATGAAACAATGTAATAGGGAATG